TTAATCTCAGGAAACAAACTGACAGTTGCTGGAGTGGTGGGGGGTGGGAGGGATAGGGTTGCTGGGTGATAGACATTGGGGAGACATTGGGGTGATAGACATATGGTGAGCACTGTGAATTGTACAAGACTGATGAATCACGGATCTGTACTTCTGAAACAAATAATGCAATATATGTTAAGAAAAAAAAAAGAAGATAGCAGGAGGGGAGTAAGTCAGAGGGGGAGTAAGTCAGAGGGGGAGACGAACCATGAGAGACAATGGACTCTGAAAAACAAACTGAGGCTTCTAGAGGGGAGGTAGGTGGGGGGATGGGTTAGCCTGGTGATGGGTATTAAAGAGGGCACATTCTGCATGGAGCACTGGGTTTATGCACAAACAATGAATCATGGAACACTACATCAAAAGTAATGATGTAATGTATGGTGATTAACATAACAATAAAAAATTATTTTTAAAAATGTCCTACTAAATGAGCCTTTAGTTTGGGTGACAGAGAGCTTTTTAAAAAGTTGATTTTAAGTTTAAAACTGAAAATATGATGGGTAAGGAATCAACACACATTACCACAAACAGAAGTAACTAAAGACATAGTATCAACATAAAGTAGATGGTCCTTCTCACTTTAGTACAGATGCACCACATGAAAAGCAGGGCATAAATCACATATGTATCTGTATGCATATTATCTCTTGAAGAGGTGTGTTTTATACACAACCAGGGAAACACGTATATGACATTTGGTCAAAAGCTTAGTTCTAACTCCAAACCTTTTTGAGTGACAAGATTATCTCTGAAGGGAAAGAAGCTTATGAGGATTACAAAAAGTTCATTCATTTCTTGTAAGTCATCTCTTCCCCAATGTTGTTTCTCAGTTCAGGAAAACAAAATAAGAAACTCACGACTCACATGAGTTTCTCTTTAAATACTCAAATATTTTGAAATAAGTATTTAAAATAGAATAGGAAATACATTTTGTGTCTGGTTAATACCCAAAATACAGGGAAGAAGTATTTTCAGAAATTTGAGTATTAATATAAAATGAAACAAAAAGAGGGAAAATAAGAGTGGGAAAAGAAATAGAAAAATCTCTTATCTGAGATAGTTTTCATTGAGATGGATGAAATATTTTCTCAGAGCAATTTCAATTAAAGCGAGGTTTTTCATGTGTTTTGAACAGATAACGTGTATGTGATAACAAATGCAAACAGAAAGAGTGTAGCTAAATTGAAAATAGTATTCCTCTCACCCATACCCCCAGACCTCCAGGTCTATATCTGGGAGGCAACCATTTCAACCAATTTCTTGAGTCTTACACAGCCTTCCCAAGGTGAGCTATCATACACAATCACATACATTTTATTCAAATGGGAGTATACTATCCATCCTATTTTCCCTTTGCTTTTATCCCTACTTAAAAATACATCTTAGATGATCTAAATTTTTCTTTTGGCACCTACTATGTAACTTTCTTTTTATTGAAAGTATCTTGCATTTATGATGGATGCTTTCTGGGTTTTGCAAGACATTTTACTGTTAAAGGTTAAATTACTTTTTTACATGAAAGTAGTGTAAAGTTTCCCACATAAGGGGTCACTGATGATGACCTAAATTTTAAAGCACCAGTGTGAACTCTACGATTTCTAGAGTAAATAAATATATTTATATAGAGACATACCTATATGTCTAATGATAACAGACAAATAAATAAGGGAGAAGGGAAAGTTCTACCTTGCAGTAGAATCCCAACTTCTGATTAGTATATGTTCAGAGAGTATATAGTTGGGAAATCATTATTTTGCATTCAATTTAATAAAGATCATTCCAGGCAAGAATTATCAATAGATATTAAATATAGAGAGGAATCTTTTGAGGAGCAGGATAATTGTATGATCTTAAAATGTTTCTCCAAATGTTTCTGTATGAGTTGCAATGGAAACATAATACATTTGAGAAACTGGACAACACCTTAACCAAGGAATCAAAATTAACGTCACCAATGGGAGGGCAGATAAACACTATGTTCTCCACATGTGATACCCTGAGAAGGACATGACATCACTTAAGCAGTATTCCAGCTAGGAATGCATTACCTGAATCAAATCCTGAGAAATCATCACATGAGCCCCAAATAAAGTCGTTGGTTTTTTTTTTTTAAGGAATTGTATTCTTCAAAAATGCTAATGCCATAAAAGACAAAGAAAGATTGTGGAAATGTTTCAGATTAAAGGAAACTGAAGAGACATGATGACTATATGTACCGTCTGATCCTAAACTAGATCCTCTATATACAAATACACATATACATATTCCATATATGTATAATACATACACTTATATATATATAGTATCTATATATACTACAAATAGAGAAATATACATATTTATATATGTATATTAGAGAGAGAAAGAGAGAAATGTATACATCTATAGAGAGAAGCAAAAATAAGTAAATAATAAAGCAAATGGGGATAAAGTGTTAACAACAGATGAATGAATCTGGGTAAAGGGCAGAGAATGAATGTTCTTTGTACTAATCTTATTCTTGAAATTTTTCTGAGTTTGAAATTATTTCCAACTAAACAAAAAATATGCATTAGAAACTTTTCTATCACTATAGATTCATCTTACCTATTTTTCCTTTTTTATGTTTTTTTCTTTTTCAATTGAGATGTAATTTACATCAATAAAATGCACAGATTTTAAGGGTATGGTTCAATTAGTTCTGACAACTGTATACACACATGTAACACCATCCAATCAAGATCTACATTTCCCTAGATAATTCCCTTGTGCCTCCTTCCAATCAATCCCCACTCTCCCTCACCCATAACAGCAGCCCTCACTGTGATTTTCTAGGTTAGTTTTGCCTCTTCTTAAATGTTATATAAAAAGAATCATAGAACATATACTCTTTAATGTCTAATTTCTTTCTTTTAGGAGAATATTTTGGAGATGTGTCTATGTTCTTATAATAATCAATACTTCACTCTTTTCTATTGCTTAATGTTATTCCATTATGCGAATATGCCACAATTTCTTTATCCATTCACATGTTGAAGGACATTCTTGCTTGTACATGCCTTTTTGTAGACATGTGTTTTCATTTCTCTTGGTTGGGTCATAGGTTAAGTGTATGGTAACTGCCACCTGTTTTCACTGTGGTTGTATCATGCCTTATCACTTTTGATGGCTACAAAGTATTTAGTTGATCATGTAGACCATTATTTATTTAACTACTTCCCTGTTGTTGGTCATTATGGTATTTCTAATCATGTGTTCTTACAGTTTGGTAGTTAATATCATTGTATATGCACACTTACGCACATGTGTGAGAATATCTGTGGAATAACTTTTATAGGAAGGTCAATGAGTGTATATAGTTTAATTTTTTTAAAGAATACAAATAAAAGTTTATTATACAAAATTGAGTCCTTCATATTTCATAGTTCATGAAGGCTAAACAAAGACTAGGTTTTTTTAAATCATTCACAAAAATTTCACTTTCACTCCCCCTCATCCCAACTATTAAAAAATGGCCTGACCAAATGTTATCAAAACAAACACTATAAATAACACCAAGTGCTTTAAAGACAACTCTCCCATATGTTATTTCTTGGCATAGGTGATCTTCATGGCATGTGACGGTGTGATTTTCAATCCCTATAAAGCATCCCTGGCAGCTCCAGCCTGTCCATCATTTTCAAATTCAACAAAAGCAATGTCATGCCTCCCAGGTACCAAATGTACTTCCTTGAAGCCAGGAAACTGATTAAACAGCATGGATAACATCATCTCATTAGTCTCTTCTGGTAAATTATTGAGGAATAAAATATAGTTTGGAGGGTAATCAGGGACCTGAGGATTTGGTGTTGAATTTCCTTGGGTATTTGCTGCATTTGGTGTTCCCTGACCAGGCTTTTTGTTTGCAGTGGTCACAGTCTGTTCCACAGTTTTCGCTTTTTTCTTTTCCTTCTTCTTTTCTTTGTCAGCAAAAGTGCCACGCATTTTAGATATTATATCCGAATCTGTTTTTGCATACTGGATTTGCATTGGTTTACCATAAAATGGAAATCCTTATAACTGTCTCAAGGCATTTGTGGATGAGCCCAGTTCCTTAAAAATAACAAAGGCTTGCCCCCTCATCTTCATGGTCTTTAAAGCTATAGTATCTATAATGTGGCCAAACTGAGAAAACAGGGCATACAGGGATCTCTTCAACTCTTCTTTTTTAATTTTGTCATTCATATTGTTGATGTAAATTGTATGATTTGGTCTGATATCCATGTTTGGAGTTCAAACTGCCTGAGGCCTACGTTGGTCCCCCACGAACCGAAAGCCCTATAGTTTAATTTTTGATCAATGCCGCCAGTTAGTCCTTCATATCAGTCATTACCAACTTCATGCCCATCGGCAAAGTATGAACATGCCTGTTTTCCCCACATCTCTACCAGTTATCGGTAAAATATTTAATCTTGTCATTTTGTTTTCATTTTATGAGTATCACATATTGGTTTCATTTTTACTCTACAGTTGCCTATATTTATCTTAAATTCTTATTTTCTTTTACCCATACTATTACAGTACCTCTCCCTCCTTCAATCACTTTCTACAGTCTAGGACACTATCTTTAGATTATATAACTCCAATACCACCCTCCGAAGTCACTCTGCAACTGAAAAATCTTCACTGGATCCTCACTGCCTACTGAATAAAATCCAGACCTCTTATTCTTACACTGAAAACCTATTCCATGTTTTCTACTTTTTTTCTTCCAAACAATTATCCTACTTATAGTCCAACAAGAATGGGGCTTCCCCATGGACCTCACATAAAGTATGTCCTTCCTGCGTCCATGTCCTTACACATGCTGTTCCCTCTATGCATAATGCCCTCCGCTCTCTGCCTGTGGAGTCCTACCTTCCTTAGACACTCAGCTCCAACGCCATCTTCCCCATGGGCCCTGACCAAATGCAGACAAGATGAAAAGTCACGCTTACCGGCACTTTCATTTTAAATTCATCTCGATAATATTTAATGCCAATGTCAGTGAATGTCCTCTGGATAAAGCAAGATGGACGAAGGATGAATATGAGCTGCAAGTTTCCTGGAAATGCTACCTGGAAGGATCACAGAAAGTGTCAGGGCAAATGTCACATCCATTGGTCTCCTTTTGCCCAAGATCACAGATAGGAAAGTTTAAGTAGACACCATAGATGCCAAAGAACTAGAGTATCTATCACGGGATTTCAGAGCTGAAAGAGATAGTGTTTGAATAATCCAAACTCCTCCTTAAAAATTATAACAAATCAAAAAAAAATTTCTGATTATAAAAGTATTTCATACTCCTTATAAAAAATTGGAAATAAAAGTATACATTAGAAAAAGAAAACCACCAAAACCTCCCATGATCTTATAGCCATTTTTAATTTCCAATCTAATTACTTACAGGCTATTTTCTCTGCTGAAATATCTTTATCACGGTTAAATTCATACTGTAGAAATATTTTGTAACCTGCTTTTTCCCTTAATATTATACCATGAGCTTTTATTTCTGTTATTTAAAAATTCTTTGGAAATACTATATTTCGTGGGTGCACAATTTACTTAACCAATCCTTTATTGGTAATGATTTAGGCTTTTTCATACTTTTATACTTATAAATAACACTGAAATAAACATCTTAATCCACATTTTGGAATACTTTCTTTGGATAGTTTCCCAAAAGAATTACTGAGTCAAAGACTTAGTATTTTAATGGTTCCCGATGCATATTATTGCCAAGTAGCTTTCAGGAAGCATTACCTTCATCTTGAGGCAAGTTCTTGCGAAATGAGATAACTCAGATTCATATAACAACTTAATGGCACAACTGGGACCCCAAGTCTCCCATTGCTCACGGCTTTCTCTCCTTCTAGTGGTTCCCGAAAGCAACCTCCCAAGGTGCTTGTTAAAAAGTAATCTGGTCTTTAGTCTGGAATATTCTGATTCACTAGAACTGGGATGAAGTTCACATACCTATTTTCGACAAGCACCTGAAGAGATTCTGTCTGATTAGAAGCCAGGTTTTGGGATCCCTGTGCTACAGTGTCTTTTACCCATAAAGTGATAATGTAATTCTTGAACAAATTCGGCTCAAGTATTATATTATTCAAGTACTGTCAAGGGACCCTGGAAAACCGAAACTCTCTTGAGGCCAGTCCTCTAAAATATTCATGGGCACTGTCAAGTGTCTAAAGCCTTAAGCATCAACCACCATTATATTTATCCCAAAAATAAATCCTGTAGCCAAAACTAAGCTAAAGGAACAAAACAATCCATACACAAAAAAGGGGAGTCTTCCTTTCCCCCAGTGTTTGAAATGCAAGCTCCTAAACAGAAGAGGCTTGCATTTTGTTACATCAAGATAAGATAAATGACTGAGACACTATTTGTATTTCTGGCTGAGGCTGTAGATCTGAAACTCCGTATATGTGCATGTTTGCATGCGTGACTACCTTTAGAAGTAGGCATAAATGAGGCTTGGATTGTCCCTCTCCCATCCCAGCCTCTACATAAACATTATCACCCTATCATATCCCATCCTCTTCAGCCAGTCCCAACTGCCCTAGGGAGCCTGTGCCTTGGTGGAAATGCTGGTAAGGCTGCCCTAAGGTATCTCTGCCTGCTCATGTGGTTGAATTCCCAGGCCTGAGGTCCTTGCAGAGAGAAAGGATACATCGACTTGCTGAAAGGCAACAAACAGGGATGAAAATCAGACTAATGAAATGGAAAAGGAAATTCATCCAAGGTTGTACAATCTCATACCAAAAGCAAGCATATATCATATTTTGTCTGGTTTTTCCAGTATCTTTCAACCTGTGAAAAACTAATTTGAATCCTGAAGTGAAGATTGGCTTACGTTGGGTGACCCTCCCCCCGCAAAGCAAACCCTAAAACCAGGATTTGGGTATAGAGTTTATTGAGGAGGTGATCCCAGGTAACACAGTGAAGGAGTGGGGGAGAGTGAGAAAGTGATAACAAGAAAGACAATGTATCAAGAAGGGGCACTGCTGTGGGCAAGAAGGGCTGGGACCCTCTGAGAGTCTGTGTGGTACATATCTCAGAATTGTCCCACTGAGGGGTGTGGAGGCTGGGGCAGTTATCCATCAACTCCCATAACTCAATAGTTGATCACTCCTAGGGCATTAACTTCCCAGCACTCCCTCTGCCCCTCTTCGGTGACCAGAGAGGTCAATAAGGGAGATTCAGGAAGCTTTTGACGGGCTCAGGAATTGTCTGCAGTGACCTGCAAATGGCAGAGGGGATAATGGACATGACACAATAGCCTCTGCTACAAAGACCTTCCCAAAATTTGGCATAAAACAATTGCCTTTTCCCCGTGACTTGGATAGGAAATAGTTGTAATAACAGCATAAAAATGAATATTTACAGCTATTCGTGTCAATGATGCTTTTATGGAGCTCCACTTGTCCCTTCGCCGGTCGATAACGATGACAAATCCGATGTTCGCAGCCTCCACACTGCAAAAAAGGATGGTCGGTATCAGAGACCAGGTGAGACACATGGGTTCTGGGCGGCTCCCTCCCCAGGACATTCTACAGCCTCTGGCACATGTGTAAACATGCTGCATGGCACAAGGGAAAAACCTGGTCTGACTTCCCTGACAAAAGAACCAACTTCCTCTCCTGATCTCAGCCTGGCAGCCTTAACAAAATAGAAATACTTGGTGTCTCAAACCCTCTCAAGGGCTCTGTTTATGGCTGGCAAGTGTATGAAACACCCAAGGAGCACATGTGCTCATACCTAAAGGAAAACACACATATCAGGTAGGCATCACATGTCCCAGTGTATGCAAAGGAACTCAAGGTTGGGCTCTGCCACCTTTCTACTCCCAAAACTGACATTCATGCAGCTATCAATATGCTTCCATAGGAATGAGTCCTAGAGGTGTTCAGAAATACCACATGTCTATGGGAAAAACAACCCCTTTCCAATGCCCAGCTAAAAAACAGCCAGCAAATTATACGCACAGGAAGATATTATTTTCATTAAAAATGAAAGGAAGCTGTTTGGCCCCCTCCTAAGTCCCCACAAAATTCTTTTAAACTAAACTCCCAGAAATATAAACATTTATCTTCTTTCTCTCCTTGGGAGGAACTATGATATACAGGAAAGAGCAAGGGCTTTGGATTCTAGTGGCTCAAATCCTCATGCTGCTACTTACTAGCACTGTGACACTGGGGAAGTTATCCACCCTCTCCAAAGCTCAGTTTCCTTATCCATAAAATGAAAACAATACCACCAATAATGAAATCACTAAAAGGATAAATTCTGAAGCCAGATTGGCTAGGTTTGAAGCATGAATTCCACCATTTATATAGTATGTATGGGGGTGGGAGGTAGAGTTACTTTAATCTCTATAGTTTCTAAGAATCCCCATTTGTAAAATAGGAAAAAAATAGTATCTATTTATATGGCTGATGTGAGGATTAAATGAGTATGTATAACAAATATATAAGAGGCTCAAAACAATGCCTGGCAATTGGTACATATACACTGTACCTATAGTAATATTATGATTATTTCATATGTCCTTGTCATGGCAATGAAAAGAGATCAAGTACATGAAAAGTAGATGGCTTCTAGTAAACTTTTAATAACTCTCTAATATTGGGCAAAAGATGAGCTTTACCCTAACGAGTGCCTGTATGTGGATAAGGCAGAAGATCTAAGCAAACACTAAGGAAATACAAGTAGCTGATCTGAAGTAGGCATTATTGGGCCAAGCCATTATCACAGTTCTACAATGACCCAGGTTCTCTCACTGGGAACATTTCCCAGGCCACAGTACAAGGAGGGATGGTCTCACTGGGTAAAAGAGGCAGAGACTGGGGATTATAAAAGCAAAAGTCGCCAGAACTTGAGGAGGGTGACTGTGAAGAAGGAACAGAGAGGGAACCCCAGAAATCTTCATGGAAGTTCTCCTTTGATGTGGCCAATGCCCAGGCCCCACTATTTCAGGCAAGTGTCCAGGAGGCTGACAGAGAACAGCAACTACACATGTGAAAACTTATGAAAAGTTATAAAGTTTGCATAGTTCTGGGGAAAGAAAGACAGTAGGCATTGGGCCCACCCAGAATAGAGAGACTTTGGTGAGCACCCTGAGCCTTCAGGTGAAACTCTAGAAAGGCAATACTCTAGGATAAATGAAACATCATAGGAATTGCCATAGGATTAAGGCTACACTCTAGGAATAAGGACCAAGCAGAAATGGACTTGCCCTAAGAAAACCTAAAAAGAAGGCCTCAAAAAGATCAAGGTGATCTACCAGTAATTTAACTTCCCACCAGATTAAACTCAATACTTTTTATAAGCAGATAAGCCTCTACAACATATCATCTATAATATCCAGCATAAAATAAATTAATAGAAATGCAAAAAAGCAAGAAGAAAACAATAATTAAGAGATGAAATAGTCAATAACTATAGACTCAAAGATATTCCTGATTTGGCAGACAAAACTTTAAAATAATTATGATCAATATGTTAAAAGAAAAAGAGGAAAGGGTAGACAAAATAGACTAAAAGATACATTATTTCAGCAGAGAATTAGAAACTATAATAAAGAATCAAATGAACCTCCTAGAATTACAAAACACCAATATCTGAAATTAAGAACTCAGTGGATTTAACAGCAGACTGAACACAGCAGAAGACAAGATAGGTGAAACTGAAAACATATGAATTGAAAATATTCAAACTGAAACACAGAGAAATGAAAAGGATAGAATGTTAAAGAGATATGGGCCATGAACAGAGTCCCAGAAGGAGAGGAGAGAGAATATGTTACAGAAAAATATTTTTTGAAAAAATAACAATGAAGAATTTTCCATATCTGATCAAAGACATCAACTCACAGATTCAAGCAGCTCTTCTAATACCAAGCAGGATAAATACAAAGAAAACTTCATCCACGTATATCAGAGCCAAGTGGCTAAAAATTAAAGATAAGAAGAAACCCTTAGGGGCACCTGAGTGGCTCAGTTGGTTAAGTGGCTGCCTTCGGCTCAGGTCATGATCCCAGGGTCCTGGGATCAAGCCCCGCATCGGGCTCCCTGCTCAGCCTGCTTCTCCATTTCCCTCTGCCTGCTGCTCTGCCTACTTGTGCTCTCTATCTCTCTGTCAAATAAATAAATTTTAAAAAATCTTTAAAAAAAATAAAGAAACCCTTAAAAGCAACCAGTGGAAAAAAGACACATTACCTCCAGAAGATCAACATTAAAAAAAAATTTTTTTCATTGACTTTTCAACAGAAACTATGGAAGCTACAATCCAATGGAATGTTATCTTTCAAGTAGTAACCTGAAAAAAGAACCCATTTAGCATTCTATACCAATTGAAAATTCATTTTAAAAAATGAAGGTGAAATAAGGGTGTTTCCAGACAATTAAGCTGAGAGAATTTATTGCCAGTAGGCATTCACTTCAAGAAATATTAAAGGATGTTCTCCAGGCTGAATAAAGTTGGAAGCATGAAAGGGGAAGAAAAATAAACAGCCTGAAAAGGAGATTCAGTGCTGATTAGGAAGACTTTCATTCTTATATTTAAAAAAAAAAACAAAAAACTACTAGAGAGTATTATGCTAAGTGAAATAAGTCAGTCAGAGAAAGACAAATACCATATCATTTCACTCGTATGTGAAACTTAAGAAACAAAACAAAGGAGTAAAGGGGGAAAAAAAAGAGAGAGAGGCAAACCAGGAAACAGACTCTTAACCACAGAAAACAAACTGATGGTTATCACAAGAGAAGGGGGTAGGGGGATGGGAGAAATAGGTGATGGGCATTAAGGAGTGCACTTGTGATGAGCACCGGGGCTTGTACGGAAGTATTGAATCATTATACTGTACACCTGAAATTAATTTTACACTGCATGTTAACTAAAATTTGAATAAAAACATTAAAAAAAAAAAACAACCCTTCATGGAAACTGGCTGGGCAGAGGTTAGGAGCTGCACAATGAATGCTGACCCCTCTTCCATTTAGTTAGTTTTGTTTATTGCCCAAAACACTGATAGTAACAGAGGTTTACTGATATCTAATGGGATGCAGTGTGAGATTAAGGTGTCCATAAAGCAGCTGGTGCAGCAACAACGACAACAAACTGGTTAAGTTAAAAACCCATATTTGTCCTTAAAGACATTAGGGAACTCTGAAAATAAAGAAAGCTAAATAAACAAATTCCAGAGAGAGTTAAGAGTTGCTTCCATAGGGAGCAACTACTAGAAGAGGCTTTCATTTGAAGTGGTAGTTGCTTATTCTGGTAATAGGCTCATGAATGTCCATCCCTGAAAGGAAATAATCCCACACAGTAACCTGAATCTGCAAAAGGAATGAAAAGCACTGTAAACATTACATATGTGGATAAATATTATCAACTGTATTTTTTATTTCACGAAAAGATTACAGACTATTAAAAGTGAAAACAAGGGTGCCTGGGTGGCTCAGTCAGTTAAGAATCTGCCTTCAGCTCAGGATCCCAGGGTCCTGGAATCGAATCCCACATAGGACTCCCTCCTCAGTGGACAGCCTGCTTCTCCCTCTCCCTCTGCTGCTCCCCCTGCTTATGCTCACTCTCTGTCAGATAAATAAAATCTTAAAAAAAAAAAGTGAAAACAATAAGTATTAAATACATTATATGTGTAAAATATACACGTATATATTAAATACATTATATATGTAAATACATTATATATAGTACTACATACTATAACACTAGAGAAACCATTGCTTAAAATCCAATAAAGGAGATTAAATGGAATACTGAAAATATTTGAAAAATTCAAAAGAGAGTAGGGGCTATAGACTGAATGTATTCTTCCAAAATTTTTATGTTGAAGTTCTAACTCAAAATGTGGCTGTAATTAGAGAAAGGGCCTGCAAGGAGGTGATAAAGATTAAGTAAGTGCCTAAGGGTGGGGTCCTAATTTGATAGGATTAGTGCCCTTCTAAGAAAAGGAAGAGACAGCAGAGCTCTCACTCTGCCGTGTGAGAACACAGGAATATAGCCATCTGCAGCCAGGAGGGGAGACTTTACTAGAAATAGAATTAGCCAGAACCCTGATCTTAGACTACTAGTTTCCAGAATTGTGAGAAAATACATTTTTTTCTAAAGATAGATTGATTGATTGATTGATTGATTGATTGATTAATTTGAGAGAGAGAGCGTGCAAGCACATGGGGGGGAGGGGCAGAGGGAGAGAGAGAAAAATACTCAAGAAGACTCCCCACCGAGTGCAGAGCCCAAGTAGGGGCTTGATCTCACAACCCTGAGATCAAGACCTCAGCCAAAATCAAGAGTCAGACACTTAACCGACTAGGTCACCAAGGCGTGTGGTGGGAAAACAGATTTTGCTGTTTTAGCCATCCAGTCTGTGGTGGTTTGTTATGGCAGCCAGAGCAGACTAACATGGGAGGAAAGGAGAAATAAAGAACAAGTCACAAATGGTACAAACAGCTAG